CATTTCTGCTGAAGCTAGACACTAGGAAATAGTTCTTCAACAAGACAAATTGGAAGCTGCAGAATAAAGGTAGACATTGCTGACAAATGTTCTTCAACTTTGGAAAGAAATAATTGTCCAACCTTAATATTTTGAGCAAGTGAATTCCATTCTTCATGGAAGCAGAAAAATTAGACAATTTTAGTCCATATGTTTTAAGAAACCATAATTTGAGACCTTTTTCTGCATGTGATCCATTAGTTTGTGCACTGCAAACTCTACTATATACAGCAGACACTGAGACAGTGCTTCCTGAAAGCCACACTGCCTCACTAAGCTAGGTACTCAGTCAATCTGGATGCCTTGCTACGCTGAGTGAGAATTTTGTTCAGGACACCATACCCTATTATTGCCCGTCAAACATTCCCCATGAGTTTCAATTCCTTGACCCTTTTTCTTTTAAAAAATATCAGAAAATTTCATTTCATATTAAATTAAAATAGCATACATCTTTTACAGGAATTAGGTAAAACTCAAAGTTTGTGAAAATGAAGGCTATATTTGCAACTATGTAGACTGCAACATGTGGGTCACAATGTTTTCTTTAATTATGGGAACCTGTACACATGGTGGAACTCTTCTCTTATGTGTGCTAATTAGCACACTTTGGAGCAGACTCAATTAATCAAGTCTGCTGCAAGTCTGCTGGAGCATGCTAGTTAGCACGCTTCAGCAGCCTCTGTGTCACACGTATTCAGTGTCCCTGCATTTCAAAATGGTGAAGGAGGTTCTTTAACTGAAGGTCATCGAATGAACTTTAATTAAAGCACCCCCACCACAATTTTGAAGCACTGGACACTGAATGCATGTGACATTGTGGTCACAACCATCTGAAAGCCACTTTAATTAAACCACCCTCACCCTCCACCCTGGAGCATGTGTATAGACACCCAATGTGAAAAGCATTGTCATTTCCACAGGGCATCTGCTTCTTATGGTGTACAGTGAATAAGGCAAGAATATAACTATGAAAAGGCATGTGGTTTTCTAAATCCATGTACCATTACAACCCAATATACATACCTCAGTGCAAAGCTGGACTAAGTCCTTTTTAGTCACAAAAATCCCAAACATTCTTTTCACCAAATCTTCCAGTTTGTCAAAATCTAAAATGTTTCACAAAGATTCATCAATTTTGATGATGCTTTGAGGGAATCCTGCAAGTACCATACTTCACAGTGTATAAGTTGGTTTCTGAAGTCTAGTTTTTGCCTCTTAAAATTCAACCTTGATTTATACACTGTCCCCTGTGAGTGGTGCTTCCTGGACCCCTGGGAGCTCCCTGGGAGCTTGGGCAGCACATGGGCCACTGGCAGCCTGCCTGGCCAGCCCCAGTGGGTCCTGCTACTGCAAAGGGAAGAACCAGGCCCCCCAGCAGCTCCGGGGCTGCCCAGCCCAGCAGCAGCTTGCCCCACAGCCATAGGTCAGGCAGGGAGGCTCTATCGAAAGCAGGATCAGGCTCCTTGTTGGTTTTGCCATTAGTAGGTGCCTGCAGCTGGCAGGATGCCTGGTGCTGCCCAGAAAGGGGATGGCTTGCCACAGGGACAGTGCAGGGTGTTGGGCACGTGGGAGGCTTCCTGAGTGGTGCCAGGTGTCCTGCTGGCTGCAGGCACCTGCCAAATGCAGACGTGGTGAAGGGCCTGATCCTGCTTTTGGCCAGGCCTCACCAATTTCCCCACAATTGGGAGTGAGCTTCTGCTGGATCAGGCATTCCCTGAGCTGTGGGGCTCCGATCCTTGCCTCTGTGGTGTCAGTGCCCCCCGGGGCCAGCCAGGCAGACTGCCAGTGGGCTGTGTGCTGCCCAAGCTCTCAGGGCCCCGATCCAAGTTCCCGGGAGCCTGACTGCATGCTGCCTCTCCCACAAGCCCACCTAGGCTTCCAGTGCCTTGCACACCAACGTGGGGTCGATATGTACAAAGGACATACAAACATCCTAATTTTTTTTACAGGAACATGGAGTTGACTTATACAATGTGTCAACCTAGACACCATAAAATATGATGGGTTTTCATCATAAAACTACCTGGTTTCCTCCCAGCATTAAGAAGAGGACCATGGTGACTGCCTTGATGTTGCAGACTATATGGATTACTGGATCTGATTCAAAGCAGACTGCCTATGAACTTGGGTTTACCTCCTTTTCTGGAGAATTTTAAAATTTTACATTTCTATTCTGAACAGGAATGAAACAAATTTTGAAGTGTCCCTTCCACTAAGCAGAATTACTAGTGAGTTCCTTTGAGTAGACACCAGTAGAAAACCAGTTTTGTAACCTAAGTGCAGGAGACAGATAATTTCTTCCTTTATCTATGGGACTCTCATCACAATAGTAACAAAATGCTTTATAGGAGCATTTAGAAGGAGGTCTGCCTTGGTTAAGTTGGAGCAAATTTAGGGAATGAGACAGGGATCCATTCAGTAAACAATGAGGAGTTATTAACAGTACCTTCCTGGTGAGTCTCCATTCTCATCAAACAAGATCATGTCCCCAGAAACTCCGGTAAAATTAGTCTTCATGAGAGAGTCTAGAAGTTTTTGACCATCTATTGGCTTCATAGCATCACAGAGGCCCACATAGCCTGGACATAATGACGTCTGCATGTTGTGGAGACCATAGGCCATGGAATATATTGCATTGATTACAAATCCCATTTTAGAATCCTGAACGTGTTGCGTTTGAAGAGTCATCTCACCTGTTAGGAAAAAGCACGATTAGGTATTAGCAAAGAGAAAAACATGATGAATTCTGTAAACATTTTGGCTGTGTATCCATTGCTAACATTAACAAAATACCTCTTAATATTAAACAGCAACTAGTAATGATTCTGTAAGGACATACAGCATAAAATAAAAGGAATGGAAACATGCATCTTCTGTCAAACTTCTTATTATCCTGTTTGTGTTCATGTTCTCTAGGCCTCCTGATTTTTAGTTATTTCTCTTTTCCCTGTAGTTTTCTGAAACAATACTTTCAAGCCTTTGAGCAGTTTAGTGGAGGAGATGGTTCCCCCAATCTCAAAAGATAGTTGACTGATCTCTTAGGCTAAAAACATAGGTTGGATTTCTCCTGGGACAAAGCTTTTTAACCTGACATCCTACAGTTGGCCAAACTCTACTGTCCGATGTTAAATGACTGTGAGGTATACAAATTAATATTTTGCGCTGGGACAATAGCAGCTACTTTGACTTAATTGCCATCTAAGCTCTGTGTGTCAATGACTGTCCTCCATCTGTTTTGGTATGTGTCAAAGCTCAAGACAGTGAGCCCCAGATTAAGCTGACATCTGTTTTTACCTTTTGCCCTTGCCTGAGTCAAAAAGGCATTTATGTAGTATTTGGGGTATTTGTGTAGAAAGGACCCTGTATACTATTTTGTTTATTTCCTACTTTATGGCACTACCGTGGAATAATATCACTATACATACATGCTCAAAACAAATCTTAATGCACTAATAATGGTACATTATGGGTGCTTACACAAGTCACTTTTTTTCGCGATTGGGCCCCTGAAAATACTCTACGGCTGTGACATAACACATGTGCATGGGTGCAGAGTGCTTTTAAAATGGCCAGTCAGACAAAAAATTGTGCACAAAAAATTAACCCTCATCAAATCAGCTGTTAGCTGAAGGCACTATAGAACAAAGTGCCTTAGAGAACTTGTGTTCCCTTGAGGATTACTTTTTAGTGTCTTTGCAGGGCTGGGCTGATGTTCACACTGGTGATGATGCCCCAGCACCTGGAGGGCTGTCAGTAGGGGAAGGAGGGGAGGTGAAGGGGGAGAGAGCAGCAGGCAGCTCAGGCAGCTGAAGGCTCAGGTTTGCTTGGCTAGAGCTGGAGGTGAGGGGCACGGTGGAAAGGAGATCCCTTGCCTCACGGCCCTTTCCCAGCTGCTAATTTTTGAGTGGAATTTACAAATGATTAATGATGCCTCCACAATTCCTGTTAAAACCAGTGAGTGGACTGAATACTCTGAATCTTTCAGTAGAGGTTCAATAAGTGACTCAAAACTGAATCTTCTTATCCTTGGTTCTGGAAATTAGAAAGGAATTTGAAAGGAGTAGCTTAAAGAACACTGATAATCTTGTCAATGATGATAAATCATATTTACAGAATTTCCTAGCCAAAAATATAGTGCAGGGAACACTGTTAATAAAGGGAATGTGGGCATTAGCAATACCTTGGACTCTTCTACCCACTGCCTGTGATAGAGAATTAAGTTTCATGAGGACTTTAGTCTAACTAAAGTCATTAGTCATAATATAAGGCATCTGGATGACATGTAATGACCATAATATATAGGATGCCAAACTAAATGCTATAAGAGTGTCTTGAGGTCTTACACTCAATAGAATTCTAAAATTATATGTAAGCAATGGCCTAGGTTGTCCTTTTTGCCATTGACACAAAGGAATCCTAAAGCTACCTTAGGAGCCTATAGAACCTCATATGTAGATCTTGTGGTATGAAGCTGAAGTAGAAGTACTTACTTCTCTTTGGAGCCAACACAGAGAGAACATGAGTGTAGGAACTGGACATTGCTAATACAATCTGTTTGGAACTTGGAGGAAGGAGTTTTAGTTTGCTGTGCCCCAAGTCATTTAAGGCGCATTACGCCATCAAATTTCCTACAGCAGTTGGAATTAATGCACAATACTCCACCAAGGTGTGCAAACACTGATACAATTAAAGTGGTGCAAAAGCATTTAGCTCGCTTTAAAGTGTTGTGCACACCCGCCCCCCTCATTTTGTCTACACATGGCCACAGTTGCCCCTTTAACTGGGGCAGGGGGGAACTGTTGGTATGAACAACAACAATGTAAAAAATGGAAGATGATGTTTGGAAATGTAGAGTTCCATACTTTAAGGGCTGGTTTTTTGTTAAATCTTTAAGGGCTGGTTTTCAAGTTAAATCATCATTCCCCCCTCAAACAAGAGGCAAGCTATTATTTCATAAAATTCAACTAGAGAAAACCTTCAATTTTACAAAGATCCTGCTCAACCTTGGCTCAGACCCTGCATGATTAAAGTGGAAGCTTTGCTATTGTCTTCAGGGATTGTATATGCAGCCTTACAACCACAACTAATATATGCTTATGGGGAAAAAACAAACAAGCAAACAAAAAAACTGAAAATGGAGACCGGAGGGAAGGGAGACTTTATTCAAGTATTGTGTGCTCAAGTGCTCAAAACTAATCAATATGCAAGGACTAAATTTCAGGAGGGGCTGTCAAACCCAAACATTGTCTCATGAAAAACTCCAATATCCAAAAAATCTGAAAGAGTTGGAATCTGTTTAATAAACTCACCCAATACTTTCCCTTTTAAACAAAGCATTTAAATATATGGGATAACGTCTTATTGATACATTAAGCAGCTTCCTTTGGAACTGAAAGTAATGAAAGCAATAAGCCAGCTATGGTTTAGGAGGACTGGAAGGGTTATGTGTTAGAGTGCAGCCAAAAGGAAACTAATGTTGCACCTCCTGGAAGGCTCCCGTTCAATAACCCTGGATCATTTTCTTCCAGTTGCAGATTCTTTCATGTTTATCATACACCCACTCTTCTGGCACAATCCCAAATAAGTTTGTTTTTTTTGTTATTACAGTAGTTTCTAGAAGCACAATTAAGTTTAGGTGCTGGACATAGATGAACCTTGCTGTAAACAGTTAATATACTAAAGCCCTAATCTAAATAGGAGAACAAATTGCATATGAACATGATAAATGTCAAACCTGAATATATTTGTCCATACTGAGTGGGACTCACTTATGGACTAAATCACACATCTGCTTAAGGTTTTGTAGGACTAGAATTTTTTAAACAGAAAAAGCCCATAAATAATGGAGGAAGGGGAGAGAGAAAAATTTGCTTTCACTCTTTCTTTTCAAAAAGGCATTAAGAACTAACACAAGTGTCTAGCTTTGCATCACTGGGTGCATCTACACATGCTATTAAGGTGAAGCAATAAATTCTGGCACACATTGCACTGGAGTTTATTGCTCCCAGACACCACATTTGCATGTGTGCCCGGGACCACAGCACATTGAGTCACATCAGAGCAGCTCCAGCTGGCTGGGTACCCTGTTGGGTGGTCAGCCTGCAATCCTGGAGCAGTTCCACACTGGATCAGTGTGCAGCAGAGGAGCTGGCTAAGGAATGAAGGTACTCCAATGCAAAGCCAGTAGACAGGCAGCCCCCACACTGAAGCACCCTTGTGCCCCAGCCAGCCATGTCAGTGTCTACATGTGCTTTGTAGCATAGTACTTTACTCCACCACAAGTACTTGTACATATGTGGCAAGCTCAAGCTGTACTTACCTCGGCACTGGCATCCAGGCAGCTGGTCTGCAGGTGAGGCAGCCAGCACAAGTGGCTGGAAAGAGCTCTGCTAATTGGTCTGTCTTCTGGAGGCTCCAGGTGTAAACAGATCCCAGGAGCTGAACCACAGGGGGGAGAACAGGCAGCAAACCTGAATACTCTCCTTGCTCCCAACAGGAAGCTGGTGCGTCCCTGCCAGAAAGTTTCACTTGGTGGAGCAGCAGCAGCCCATCCTGCTGCTGGAGCACCCAGCAAGAGCCTGAGCAAGCACCCACCCATCACCTGGGAGCCAAAGACTTTCTCTGGGACAGAACTCACCAGTACCCAGGGAAGGTACCCAGGGAAGATAGCCCAGGTATGACCAGGGGAGCAGCAACTGACAGGTCAAGGAACCCAGGTCTGACCCTGTGCTTACCAACTGGTGATGACACCTGCAGGGACACACAAGTTAGCTGGGACTGGGAAAGGACAGCCTGGTGGACATTGCCAGAACCTACAGAAGGGAAGATCCAAATTCTCATAGTATGGGGAATAAGCAGGAGAAAATCGCCTTCCAAATAGCCTGTTCAAACTCAGACATAGGGCTCACAGAAAGCTGATGGGATTCATCCCACGACTGGGCGGTTAACATTAGGGGCTATAGGCTTTACAGGCAAGATAGAACAGGAAGGAAAGGCGGGGGTGTGGCACTGTACATCAAAGAGCAATACACATCCTCTACCAGCAGGATGGAGTCAGAGGAAGGGCAGGCTGAAGTGCCCTGGGTCAGGATACATGGGGGTTATGGGGAAAGGGACTTAATGGTGGGGGTCTACTACAGACCCCCCAACCAAGGGGAAGAGCTGGACTGCAAATTCTCAGCTCAGCTCATGGAGGCACTTAAGGCAAGGGACGTAGTTGTCATGGGTGATCTAAATTACCTGGACATCTTCTGTAGGAGCAATCAGGCAGGTCGGACCACTCACGGAGGTTCCTGGCTGAGATACAGGACCTTCACTTAACCCAGGAGGTGCACGGTCCTACCAGGGGGAATGCCCTGCTGGACCTGGTTCTGGCAACAGACAACAACCTGGTAAGAGGGCTCCAGGTCCTCAACCACCTGGGCAGCAGCGATCATCGTTTGCTGGAATTCACCATCCAGTGCAGTGTGTCAAGGGCCTGCAGCAAGGCAGTAGCCCTAGACTTTAAGAGGGCCAGCTTCAATGAGTTGAGGAGATTAATGGGAGAGGTTTCATAGTTTCATAGTTTCTAGGGTCGGAAGGGACCTGAGCAGATCATCTAGTGCGACCCCCTGCCATGGCAGGAAGAGCACTGGGGTCAAACGACCCCAGTAAGGTGGTCATCCAGCCTCCTCTTAAAAACCCCCAGGGTGGG